ATGATTAGTGTCTGACGAAAAGGTTCAGCAGATATTTTTTTGTAAAATCTCAACCAACAATTAGTCCAGTTATCAACGTATTTTCAAGTTTTGAACAACTTGACTTTCAAGATCTGTGTATCTACATGAACCGATGTTTCCATTTATGAATGTTATATTTTAAGATCTGTGCAAGAACTCAGCTAACAGATGTTTCCATATATCAAAGCTATCTTCAAGTTTTGTACAATGAAAACCATTTTGTAAAGTTTTTTTTTTGTCGTTGTTTTTTCTTGAGCTACATTGTAATTGGAAGGGGTGAGGATGAGTTATTACAACTTCTTGGCCAATGTGTAAGTTAAATTGCAGTTAATTTTAAGATTTTAATGTTATGAATGTCCAGGATCAGCCTGGAAACAAAGGGACAAGAAGTGTGATGTGTAAGCATATCATACATTTTCTACCTTTTAATTCATAAGTAGAATTTTAATATGTTTGTGTATTTCGAGTATGTTTAGCTCCTGATATAAGAAGTTACTCAAGGAGCAACTAAATATTATTCACCCTAGTTATCGGACTGGGTAAGTCAACTATGGCATCACAGTGCAACAGAATAGAATACAACAGTGATCTTTTCTACTGGTAAAATGGGTAATGCCCTAGAGATATGTCAGTTTGTATTTTGAACTGAGAGTGATACTCAGTTATGTGGGTGGTGTATGTTCCTGGATGAACATGCCATGTTTTTCCAAAGTTCTGTCATCCTGCAACAGTTATTTTCAAGTATAGGTAGTTGAACAATCTAACAGAAGTAGAAGTTGAAGAGAGATAAGATACAGTCTTTTAGAGATTTTCAACAAATTGGTAAAGGTTTGAGATTAAGATTTGAACTTTTACAATTCGAAATGAACTTTATCTTTGGAGAACTTTGACTGTAACATGTAACTTAAAAGAACTTTAATTCTTAACTTTTGAAAACTTAGAATTTATCTCTCTCCAGTAAAGGTGTACTTATTCTTTTAAACTTTAACTTTGACTGTGTTGTGTAAATATAGATTATTGCTATATATAAATTTGTGTCTTTCTTTGTGTCAGACATAGTAAACATCTCATAAAATCAGGCCTCTGTTCTACAGTACAGTTTCTGGCAAATCCTCTTGTCATATGTTTTATACTTGTTTACTCTTAGGGAAATCAGTGAATCTGAGAATGAAATATCTAGATATTTTACCCCCCAAAATCTTAACAATTATAAGCTACTTGCAGTATAGCTACTATAATATAATTTATAACAAACACTTGAAAATAAGTAGTTTTTTGCTTTCCAAGCTATTGTGACCTCCAGTGTATATGTTATGCAAACTTTGTAGAATATTGTGCCTTAAAGCTCTGGGGAAGCCAGTAATGACCTAGTAGTTAGTGTTCAATTCACAATTTGCAGGTTATGAATTCGAATCCCAATGCTGTTTCTGAATATGCTTCTTTATTAACATAATTCATATAAGTAAAATTTAAAAAATACAATATTTTTGAAAATTAGTTTACTTTTGTGAAATGTTTCAAATTTTTAATTTTTTCAAGAAACCTTTTAAAGGTCAGCTTGGACTTGAGCTTGTAGCACTTGCATCATAAATCAACTAGATATCAGAGCCTAAATTATATATTATAAAAATGATAAATGGCCCTTTGTTAATGTTAGTTTAATTGTTTCTTGATGATCCCAATAAGCATTTTTATAACTTTCATATATAGTTTGGTGACTATATTTGAATCAAGTGTTAAATTTGTTTTTTAATTAGAAGACAACATTTAAACTGTTATGAAAATGGTTATATGTACTATGAATTTAAATAGCTACTGTAAACAAAAACAAGCATATATTTGCCACAGTCCTTGAATTAATTGAAAATATTCCTCTTTATTAGTGTTAAAATGGCATATATACAAACTTAGATATAATAAGTTATTAGATTAAATGTCCTATTTATTTTAATAACATGTTGAAATCCTTTCATTTCTTTCAAGGTTCATTTTTCATAATTCATAGGTGTAAGTACCTAGGATCCTGAATAATATTTTCTTGTTTACAGAAAAGAAAATCATGACTATTTAAGTGAACATTCCAATGATAGTCCTCTTTCTGGTTCAGAAGATGGGCTAAAGTTTCACAGTCGAATTAATTCTAGAGAGAAAAAGCAATACTTAAGCCAATACTCTCACGATAGTATAGTTCTAGAAGAAAAAAGGAATCGCCACATAGGTACTCGGAATGATAGTAGAGCCTTGAGTTTACTTTTGTCATTGGATCTCCAGGAAAAAGAAGATGAAGAACTCTGTGGTGCTGCTACACTTATCCAACAAGAAAAAATGGAAGTTGGCAAGGTGTGTGTTAGAAGTTTTAAGTTAAAATTAGAGACTGATGTGTTTAAAGTAATTCCTGTTGATATTTAGATCGGTAATGCTGCTTTGAAAAATTGGAAGATATTTTATAAAGTATTACTTAGATTAAATAAATAGTCACTGGAAATAATTTGTATAAAAGATACGAACTTATTCATAGAATAATTAATCCTACTAGTATAAAGACTGTAAAAAGTTTTAAGTTCCTGATGGTAGTTATTTATATTTGATGTTCAGGTATTAATGTAATTAATCTTTAGTTTTGCTGTTACAAATTAAAAAAAGTTAAAGTTTGCAACTTTTGAAATGAGTGTTAAGATCATAACTGATGTATAATGGGCCTATTTGAGGACAGGTACATTTTCCAAATAATATTTAAAATTCAAGGAATGTGGTCAGTAGTATTTTCACAAAAATCACCAACTCAAGAAAACTTATTAACAAATTTTAAGTTTAAATTTTAAGTTTAAGTTTATTTTATTATTTTATTAATTCCCAACAAGTGTTAATACATTGTCATTAATTTCACTGACAGAAAAAATACAATTTCGATCCTTCCCAATTATTTTGTACTTTTTTCTGTATCATCTTGACAAAAAGTGTTCATAAGATAAACATCCTGGTCAACTCTCACTAGAGTGGCACCCATATAATAAAAATGGAATGTATTTACTTCCTCAGGTGAATACTTAAATGCTTAATTTCTCTGTAATCTTCTTTTTTCTTGTATCTAATATTTCCTAACTATGAAATTCATTCAGTATGAACATTGCTATTAAAAGTGCTTCCATTATATGTAGATAGTTCATTTGGGAAGAAAATCTTTTGTTGTGTGTGTGTTATATTATTAACTTCAGTTTCTACTTTACATGTAATTGTTTCCTTCCTTCTCCCCTATATGTAGAAAGATGTGTTAGATGTTTTGGCATTTTGACTCTTCAAATTTTAGGTATTTTATATTTCATAATTTGTATATAACACTCAAATATATTGTTATGTAGTGATGTTGTTACATTTCCAAATTCTCAAATATAAAGATAGATATCAGGTGGTTTCATAATCAAACAAAAAGTTCATTGACTTTAGCTAAACTACAATGTACTGTTACGTCTCCATTTGTTAATTAATTTTCTGTAACTTCGTTCCGACGAAACTTTAGCGACACAAGTCCTTACTTAATAAAACTGGTTTATTCTTTCCGAATATAACTTTATGATACACTTAATTTCAACATTCGCGCTAAAACAAACACTATAACAAATGAACGTTAACTTCAACAATACCCTGTGACTGCAGGTCAATTACTCACTACCTACACACACATTATTCCCATCACGTTGTCACCCTCTTTTATATACCAGACTACCCTATATGTAGTAAATGCTAGAGCATTCGCCAAGGTACAGGATAGTTCTAGAAACGTGGCGTGACACTAGTCATGTGACCTCGCTGATGCAACACTGCCCCCTCCTTAATATTGTTCATCCCAAGCAATAGCCACATACAGTAAACCAATAACAATTAACAATAACTTAATTAAATGTACAGAATTACAAACACAAAATTACAATTTAACAAAGTCTCTTAATTTTACGGGACGTATCTTCTTCCGTACTGGTCTCCGTCTTGTTGGCTTCTGCTTCATGTGGGGTTCATCTGCTTCATCAGTAAATGTCCTATCATCGGTAACAGTCACATCAGTGGTATTAACTTCATCAAGAACTTCAGCGTTTCCCTTCTCAAAACTGAGTAGAGTTTCTTCTTCGACGCTATAGTGTCTGAATTTTGAATTTTCTGCCAAATAAATACTATCCGATAGTTTTCTATTCATTTTGCTTCAAAAAGCGCCTTTTCCGTGTTTCAAAAATTGATATTTTCGACAAAATACCAAGGCTATAGCCTTCG